ATATTGAGATTTTTATTAGTTATATAAATGCCAATGCGATTAATTTAATGCGTCTCTACAATAGCGCGGGTACTGTTATAGTAGCGAGAAACCGCAAATTTCCGACTAAATACTATTAGTTTGTACGGAACCGAGTCGGTAGTCATAAACTCATAAACCCCTATACCAGCTGTGTAGGGGTACCAAGTTATAAAGATGAAGACGTCAAATACCAAATTTATATAATATTGATGATTAGGCATATATAATCGACACAGATTATATAATTTTATTCATCGAAGGTTTGTTTCTTCCACAATGGCTTTATAAGTAGATTATGAGCAAAGTTATGATTGTTATTTTTGATTTTTACGATTGTCTACAGATATTGATTAGATGAAACATTGCTGCATAAATAAATGAAATCTCAAAGCAATATTTTTTTAATATAAGCCATGTGTTTGTGTAACTATAATAGTAGGATTACAATTTAGTTATAAAACTTTTGTCGATGTCGTGGTTATTGAATTCATTTTTTAAAGTTATTAATAATAAATAAACGACAAAACTTTTTTTTTTTTAATAAAACAGTTTATAAAAATTACATCAATAAAATAGATTACACGACCACGTCTTGGTCTACGATAAAAAAAAAAAAAATATTACATTAATAAAATATAAAATAAATAAAAACAACTTTTTTTTATAATAAATCATCATATGACACCAGCGAACGATCATCTCGTTGATTTCCTTTTTGTGATTTATTGGTAGCTAGAATTCAAAAATTATACACATAAGTATTGACGATTAAAAGCTGTACATCTATATTGTGTATTTATGTTGTAACCATTTAATTTATTTGTTTATATTTTCTGAATAAAAGTATATTTTCATCATGGGTTTAATTTCAACTCATTTTTTGGTTGAATAGTTTAATTTTGAATCATATCTGATATTTAAAATTTTTTAAATAATATTATAGCTGTTGCATAAAAATATATGTATGTACAGATATCTGCATAATATCATAGATAATATCTATGCATAATATATTTACGTTAAATGTTACAAAATCTTAATCTGTTATTAATGAAATATTGCTATATAAAAATGTAATTGGTAGTAAGCTAGAAGAAATGTTCAGCAATTAAATCATCATTAAATTACCTTTCAGATAACTTTATGAATTTAATAAAAGTGAAAAAAAAACTATTCTGTGATATTTTTTAAAATCAAGAATAAATAAAATTATGCAGTATTCATCAAGTTTGCCAAGTGCTCATATTCATTTTAATTTTTATAATGAATTTATTAAAATTTTAATTTTAAGAATTTGTAAGGATACCTATGGATACCTATATTTTTATACCATTTAAGCAATATTTTATAGCAATACAAAGTTTTTTCTTTTAAATGAAAACCTATTTTTTTTTTTACAAATGTAATTTAAATTATACATTCTGAATACAAAATAGCATAGCGAAGATAAAAGAATCTGTGGTAGCAGTTGATAATAATAATTTGGCCATTTGAAAATTGAATGCGCAAGATATTAAGTGGAGCTCATCGCTCATAGAAATATTATTAATAAATGTTTTTTTACTTGACCATAGACATTATAAACTGTAAGAAAAAATCAACTTTATGTCTAACAAAGGCAGGCCACTCAAATAACAATTCAATACTGCTTAGTATAGTTTCATAGTCACCATCTTTTTAATAAGAAAATAAATTATGGGTAATATGCTGAAGGAAAACAATTAAACATAGGTTCAGCCACGGCACATTCAAAGCCGATTTAAGTCGTAACACCACTCAAAGTCTTGATTATAATTATCGCTCAGAAGTTGAAGAAGATGCATATTTTTCAAAAGGTATTAGAAAAAAATTTTATGCAATTATGACAAATTTTAAAATTTAAACTCAGGTAAATTTTCCATATTTTGTTAATTTAGAAGTACATACTTGTATTTAAATACATTTAAGAAAAAGTTAGTATCACTGCAGGATTTAAACATCCTTAATGTTAATTTAAATAAATATAAATATAGTTTACTAATATAATTCAGTGTTTAAATTTACAATCTAATTGAAAAACCAATCTCTACTATGAAAATGTATAAGTTCAATAGTTCAAACATAAATGGATATTTTCCTCCATTTTGACATTACAAAAATCATTATATAAACATTAGAAACCAAGAAAATAATTTTTTATATTACTAATAAACACTTTTAATTAATTATCACTTATTGTAACAAAATATAAATGTATTACATATATAAATGTATAATACAAATTAATGTAAAGTATTCAAAACATTGAATGAAAATTTTTAAATTATTAATAAAACTCTTACCAATTGCATTCCATGAATTAATTCCTTTATCGCCAAATTCAATTGGCTGATTTCGTGAAATAGAAACTTTTAATTTAATACCAGAGACTGTAGTTGTGTTCATCTATGTAAACATTAAAAATATTTATGAATAATAATAATAATAATAATAATAATAAATTTTCAGTTAGATATTTAGAATTATTTACTTGAGCTACTGCTTTTTCAGCAATATCTGGAGAGTTGAATGTGATGAATCCTCGACTGAAATATAATTTATTAATTTAATTAGATTTTGAAATAAGTAAAATATTAAAAAAACTCACTTTTTTTCTATTTCCATGGATATATTAATTATTGTACCAAATTTACTAAATGTAGATCTTAAAAATTCTTCAGTCATGGAACTACTTCCTCCAACAAATATAGTGATGTCCTTACGAGTAGGTTGTTCGGGAACGGGTTCTGGTGAACTCGAAGCAGGTGGAATGGTTTTGGAAGTGGAAGAAACAAAACTACTATACAAATTCTGCAAACATAAGGAATTTTAAATAAATAGGTAACTAAAAACTTCAGATTGTTTCAAGATAAACATACAGAGAATTTAGTAGTCGGAGTTGCTTTTGGAGTGCTATCGGGAATGACTTCAGTTTTGATGCCAGGTGAAGCTGCAGAAAAAGGTTGATAGCTACTTAAAGCCTGAGTAGTAACCAACAATTTGCGTTCCATTCCACAAGGTCTTTTAAATGATTCCTGGTCTGTACGATTGGGTACTTTTTTTATCGGTCCAATGGCACCAGACTTCAATAGCTTTTTCGCTATTTCCCTTGCGTCGCGAGCCGTTTCTTTGGGCCTTTTGGGATTGAGTACAGGTGAAGGCTCGGGTTCAGGTCGAGGTGTTTTTTGCACTAGCAATGCTTTTTTCTAGATAAAGTGAATACAAAAAGTTATACGCCAAGAGATATTAAATGACGTTTGTATCTGAACAAAGTTACCTTTTTTCTCAATTTTTGATACTTGTTTTGCAGCATGAGTTCTTCTTCTGTCAGATTCGTTGGAAAATGTAAGTACACCATCTCAACGCACGATTATTGGGATTTAAATGATGTGTAACTAACGACAAAACTAAAAGACGAGAAATGTCTTCCGTTTCAGTTTATAATTACTGCACTTGTGAGAAATAAGTAATAACACTAATAACTAATCAAAGTTTGAATTGCTTGAAAAATAAAAAAAATGTCCAATCGAATTGTTTGGTTTTGGTGTTTACCGACGGTGACAATAACACGATAACGGTAAGTAAACAAGAATGATACCATTATCAGCGCGCGGATCAAACACAATCATGAACCACTTCAATTACCGTAGAATAACCTGTTACCACAAATTAAGATAAAATCACTATCACTAATATATCATAATACCACGGTCTTAGATACTGTTCTATGATAATACCACAGAATAGATTAAATACTATGATAATTAAAAATGAATATAAATCTCAATAAAAAATATAAATGTATATGTTTATTGTTGATGAGTTGATGTTAGTCCATAATCCTTAGTTGGTGGTTACTGGTTAGTTAATAGGCCTAAAATGCACTATACCACGCACCTCACGAATTTCGATATATTTTTTTTAAAGACGTGTTTTTCAACGCTGATTTCGAAACTGTTTGAATTTTCGTGCGGAGACAATTATTTTGGAAGTTATAGCCCCTCAAATTTTRCGATTTTACGATTATAATCATGCGCGACATACTACTTTACTGCCGCGCAGAGCAACTCGAGTTTGGCTACCGGTGCCGGTAGGCTGAAGGTGGTCCCATGAGTTAGGTGACCGGAGCCGATAGACGACGGAAGCTATATTATACTTGTGTTACTATAACTAACAGGGTTAAGTTTACTTGTTAGGTCATCTGTCTGCCCGCTTTAACAATAAATGAGATTTAATTTTTTCAATCAATTATTTCATAACTTAATGATTACTTAAAATGGGTACCTATTAATTTTATAAAAAAWWTTGTACACAATAAACCAATTATAATAAAATTATGAAAATAAAATGGGAAGGGGGAATTGGTACCTGCAAGCAAATGTTTTTCAAGAAGCAAAAAAAAAATTTGGAAAAAATTTAAATATTAGAATACATAATGGAGACTGCAGTATGTATTTCCAAAAAAATTAAATGAAAGAAACTATAAAGAATAATACAATCATGATAGAATTATGTTATTTAGTGGAACATGAATTTTTTAGTTGAAAAATTGTGTACACAATAAACCGATTATAATAAAATTATGAAAATAAAATGGGAAGGGGGGATTGGCATCCGCAGAATAATATTTTTCAAGAAGCAAAAAAAAAAAGTTGGAAAAAATTTATATGTAATTCAAAAGAAATAAATGGGATTTAATTTTTTAATCAATTATTTCATAATTTAATGATTACTTAAACTGGATATTAATTTGTGTACACAATAAACCATTTATAATAAAATTATGAAATAGAAATTGAAAGGGGGAACTGTTGCCCGCAGGCAATTGTTTTTCAAGATTCAAAAAATTAAATTTGAAAAAAATTATCATATAAGTATATATAATCAATTTGATCAGAGTATTCATTATTTACTGTTATTAACACTAGTTTATTGTTATGAAATACTGGTATAACACTAATATGGCTCTAAAATCGTGTTAAAAATTACGAAAATATTAATCATATGGTATAACTAATATTAAAAATTAAGTTTAAGTTTTAATTATAAATTCTTAATAAAAAGTATGTATTATTTATTATTATATTAAGTATGCTATTAATATTTTCCTCGTTAATTTTTAAATATTTTCTATCATTGTTATGTTAGCAATGTCGAATACCTTGTTAGTTAGTAGGAAAAAATCAATACAAAAGTCACGACCAGTGATGATAGTCTTCTATCATCAACTGAGCTTAACTTACCATGAGCTATAGGTATAGCTATAGGTACCTAACCTAAACAAACCTCCCTATGACTATTAACCATCTGCATGTCCGCGGGAAAGGCAGTGCCGTAGCCAGGATTAGGATTTAGGGAGGGAAAATGTGTATACAGTACTATACACCCAATACCCCTCGGGAAGGCTGACTACGACACTGGGTTTAAGGTGGTTCTAGTCAGTCATATTCTAAGGAATGTTGTATAGGCAATACATTAGACCCTTGCGATATGACTTGTTAGTGTGTGAAAAGTATGTGTATTTTTCGCCAGCTTATTGGTCTAAATGCATGAAAAATCCAATCTGACTAGAACCACCTTAATAAGTATCAATCTGAATGATCGTAGAAAAATAAATAGTATTTGTGTAACGCGTGACATACGGATGGTTAACTAGGACACTGAATAAAAAGATCCTTAGTTGGTCCCGATATAAGTGTTTTCTTATCAAGTTGTTCTATTGATTGTTAATCTCTTAGAAACACCTTTAATTATAAAGATATATGGGCCTCTTGAAATAGTTTTCGCCCTTCTAGATTTTTAGGACTTCGGTGCAACTTCCTCTTTGATAATACGTATATTATGAATAGAGTCATGCCCAACTTTTTAATGCATATAATTTTAAGCACATATTTATTAGACGAGTGTCTGCCGTGTCCGGTCGTAATGAGTGCATAAATACGTATACTTGAACTGTAATTAATATAGGCTCATCCATAGTACATCATTGTCTAATCGAAAAATATGATCTAAACTCGGAAGTATGATTGGACGTAAATTGTAGAAGTAATAACTAATAAGTATAGATTTATCTGTTTGTATTGTCTCCGACTTACAAAATTCCTGTTGAAGAGAATTTATAAATTAGGTATACCTAATATTACTATATAAAACTGATATGATCTTATTGATAACTGCTGAACATAATTTTTTTATGTTTTGCACTAGTAAGAATAACTGAATACTTGTACAAGTGTGACGTCCTCATTAAATCAAAACAACTTTTGTAATATATAATAGTATATAAATGGGTATATTATCAAAATTATGTCTCCTTCCAACACACTAAAATTATATAGGTATTATGCTTTTCTGGCCCCCAAAACGTTTTAATATGGCATCATGATAATTGTTTTATTTTTAGATGGTAYCTTCCAAAAAACGACCCTCGATACTTGAAGTAGAATAATTACGATTTTGAATGCTTTTTAAATGAAACGATCTAAAAAAAATTTTACACAATTTTCTCTACAATAAATTATTATTATTAATTATCTCAACATAGCATTTTGCTGTGGATAGGTAATCTTTACATCGCAGTGTCTGTAATTTTTTATGTAATAAAGATCAAGTTAATGTTACAGATAGTCCTGAAGAAAATGTAATCATCTAAAATATCTTAAATTACATACTTATTGTTAAATTATTATTATTAAAAAATTATACTATGAACAAGTATATCTTATACAGACTTAAACAATGTACAATTGGATTCGTATTGTTTTTCTAATTACACAATACACTTTTTTTTTAACAAATCCGTCAACTATGGCCATATTACATGTGTTTGTATATAAACACGTGAGCATATATGGRGCAAGGATTCGTCACTAAGAACCCAGGTGGTCGCCCATCCAGGAGCTAGTGACGCCAGGCGATGTTTGACCACCGCGCCACACCAGGCCCCAAAATACATTTTTGTATATTCTAAATATAAATGTTATTTTTTGGTATTCTTACATTAGTATACGACTAGTGAGTGCATATATACCATGCCAGACGCAATTTATTTATCAAGGAATCAATCGCTGTTTATTAAAATACTGTTTGGTTTAAAACACATGTAAATAGGACGAGGATTCGTTACTAAGAACCTAGGTGGTCGCCCATCCAGCAGCTAGCGACGCCGGTCGATGCGTTGACCTCAGATCGAATGAGTGACTTCGGCCAACCACCGTACCACACCTGCACTCYTGCAGGCCCCAAAATTACTTTTTAAACATGTAGAAACCATAACCTTATCTATTATATGATATAATTAGTACTTGTGCGTCTATTTTTCATCAAGTAAAATCATGAAGGATGTTTTTTTGTTGATTTAGATAGTAATAACAACACGTATGTCACTTAAAATATTGAATAGGTAATGAAAAGGTGAATAGGTTAAAAACTATAATTTTTTTTAAAAATGTCTAAAATCTTAAATTTGAAAAGTCAATTAGACTAGTCAAAAAAGTAGGTAAATGATTAAACTTAGTATAGATTCCAGCACTCGATTAAAATAATAATTTAAAAATGATCGTATTTTTCAGAAAAATCAACACCTATCCCTGCAAGATCTATTATTTCTTTCCAGTATTAGAGATTTGAATTAATTTTAAAAAACTATTATAAGAAGTTGCTTTCAATATCGTAACGAAATTCTTATAATTGATAATCACCTTCAAAAGTTTTTTTTTTTTTTTATTCAAACTACGAACTATTATTTTACATTTTATGTCTATTATAGAGCAAGGAATTTTTATGCGATTTGTATAGTCGCTGAACACCCAAGATCAGCTTTATGTAAAAACTTCCGATTTTTTAAATGACACGAAAAATCTCGGGGGTGGCAATGGCCCCCCTCCAGATGTCTCTGGGGTTTTAAGTGTACCTACAGGGTTATAACTTTAAAAGTCCCTATGATATAAATAGTAGATGAATAATAAAGGTTATAAATAACTTTAAATGTCTATTATATAYCTACCTAATTTATAACAATAAAATATATTTTATACTAAATTAATAGTTTCCTATGATTTCTAACGTTGGATTTGGAACAAAGTTACAAATTAAAATTACGTCCTATGAACCATGGAGTTATCATTTATAACGGATATTACTATTGAGTAATCAAAAATTGAAAAAAATGTCGATTTCAAATACATATACATAGGTTATAATTATAAAATTATAATTATTCTAGGTACGCCCAGAAACCTGGAAAACGACACAGCGCGTTTATATTATTCAATTTTGCGTATTTATTAATTTCGCGCTCAGAAAATATGCGTCAACTATACCTGGGACACTTGGGTAGTATATTTTTCGTGACATTAAATATTTATTTTAGACCTAATATAAAATTCAACCCTCAAAAGAATATGAAAACAAACTTACCTCAAACATTGACTCTTTCGGGCCTTGGTGAAATTCGCGACGTGTAAGGTACCTAAGCTCCGATCCCGACATGAGAACGCATCGGATACGGAATTGAAGTCTGAAAATATTATTATTTATGAAATCAAAATTATATAGARTACAAAATATTTTTAGTTCATGTCTGCTTTA